GACGACGCCGAGGACGACGCCGTGGAGGCTCGCGTGAAGGCGGGTTGCTCCAGCGGGGGCGGCTGCACGGTTAACCCCGCGGCGATTTCCGGGATCGCAGACGAAGGGGCGGGGGCTCCCCCCGTCGGGTCGATCGGGTTCCTCGGAGGCCGCGGCTCACCCCTCGCTTGACAGGCGTCCTCGAGTTTTTTCGCATAGCTGATAATCATGCCGGTTTGCTCCTTAAGTGCCTGCCACTCGTTTTCAAGAAAGGAGACGGTGATTTTTTCCGAATCCGCGTAATGACCCGCCCCCGTGATTCGCATGGAGGACGGCACCATCTGAGGGCGTCGCGGTGCGGCGCCGCCCGCTATTTTATCAGGGGAAGCGGCGCGTGAAGAAGCCTGGCGGCGTGCCGAACGCTCAAGTGCTCGTCTGATGTATCGACTATGCTTATCCGAGGAGCACGCTCGGCTCGATGCCTTGCCACTCCAGACCGTATTGTGTTTCTCGATCAACGCATTCATCACCGCCTTATGCCTCTCCGCGGCCGCTACCAGGTTATCGATTCGACGTGTAACAAACTCGTTCATAATGCGATTCATTTCGCGAGAGAACCCCTTAAGGCTGCGTTCCATTTTCGCAACAGCCTCGATAAAGACGTTTTTTTCCTCCCAGTCCACCCTGCGCAGCGTCTTGTTAAGCTTCATCATGTGAGACAATTTAGCTTTAATGTCCTCGATAATTTCCTTAATCACCACGGGGCGAAGTGGCTTTGCGGCCGAATAGTCCTCAAGCTTCCGTCCAGAGCTCCTAAAACGAGTCTTCATCTTGAAAGCGGTAACAGCCGATGTGGAACCTTTCATCGATTTGACGACATCACGCATCTGACGACTCAGCGAGATGCACTCCTCGACAATGTGGACGCGAGCCTCTCGATCCGGAATGTGGCCTGGAATCGAGTCCATGCTATATGAAGTAAAGCTCTCGCAGCACTCCTCGCTTCGCTCCATGAGGAGCTCGATCTGTTCGGGCGTAAGATACAAGGTTGGCTCCATCTCCTCCTTCTCCCCTAGCGTAATCTTGTGTTTAATGGACTCGATAGTAGCATTTTTCTTTTTCAAAAAGTCTTCTTGTCGATGAACAAACTTCTTAAAGTACTCGGGCAGCTCGTTTGCGTCTTCCTCGACACCGAGATCATTGACATGTGCCTGATCATCCGTATTCGCGCGCGTTTGTTTCTCCGGCTTCATCTGGAAGGTGAGCACTAAGCAGTCGTCAAAGGTCGAGTAGCGGTGTAAGAAAGAAGATCCACCCGCCTTTTTCCAAGCCCCCGTCCTAGCTTTTGGATCCTGTTCAACCGTAACGCGCGTAGGTGACGCGGAAGGGATGTGATGGGGCAGTTCTCTCGCCTTCGACCGCGGGAAATCCTCCTGACTTGCGGTAGGGGAATTCGTCATTTTGAGACCCTTTGGAGACTGGGTAAGGCCGCCGTAAAGGACGAGGGAGTGGTCATCCCCACAGGCCGTACTCGTCGCGAACACCAGGGGTGGTAAAGGTGGCGAAGTCGTGAGCTTCGACCTCCATTGATACTCCCCCCCTGGTGTTGGGGTTAAGCACAAAGAACATACCTGTGTGGCGAAATCGGCCCCCTCCTCGAGCGAGGGCGCCTCAAAGCCACCTATCACAAGCATAAAGCCCCCAACCACACACGCCGTGTGGCCCGCGCGGGCCGGGGCCTCTTTGGTCTCCAACCTCTCCCAACGCTCGGTGATGAAATCAAAAGCCCAAGTGTCGTCGCGGCACCGGTTGCGTTCATCGTAGCCGCCATGGATAATCATATAATGGCCGTATCGTACCGCCGAATGCAAATAACGCGGCCCCGGACCCGCACTGTCGTCATCTTTCCCCTTCGTGCGGCCTTCCTGGGTGGAATGGGGGTTGCCTTGGATGAGGTGTGTTTCGTAGGCCGTAAACCGGATGACGAGGAGTTGCCCGGAGACGAACAGTTCCTCCGTCAACCCACCAAACACAAAAACCTGTTCCCCAAAAGCCACGGCGGTGTGAAAAGCCAAAGGAAAGGGTTGAATCGGCTGAATGGCCTTCCAGCGCTGCCTCAGGAGGTCCATTTCGAAGAGGAGGGGCACGAACCCCACACCGGTCCACCCGAGTCTCGTGGCGACCCCTCCCATCCGTTGCTTCGCGCCCGTCGAAAGACTCGACTCGGTAGAAGGGGCCTCCGGCAGCAGCAGCCTCGCGCGGACCGCACGCATGGGATCCTCGGCCGCCTTTTGGGCGACGCTGGGGATTGCGTGCGCCGCCCCCCCCGGGCCGATCCCCCCCACCACCACCAGCTTATCCAACGCCTCGACGACGGCGATCGCGTGCCCGAGATGCCCGGCTGGGACGAAGTCCCGTCCCTCGATCCGC